GCCATGGTACACCCAGCTAGCAGGGTGTTTATAGGAGGTGCTAGCCCCGTGCGATGGCCAACGCACGTGAAACGGAGGAATGGTTATTCGTGAGTATCGTACTCACGTTTGTTTCGTGGTTTCAAGCCGCATTTGGTTAGCATGACCCTCATGGACTGTGTGTCCACTGTTTTTTTTCGTGGCATAAGCCACATTTGGGTTATTTATTCTCGTGAACTGTATGTCCACGTTTGTTAATTGTTCTGATAAGTCCCTATAATTATGAATCCAATCATTTGATGATTTCATATTTTATTGGTTTTTATTTAGTAATTTGTGTATAAATATTTTATTTCATTTATGTGTTTTCTTGGAATCAAGTGACATTATCATTTGCTATGATAGTTCAATGATTCAAGATTTTATTTGAAATTTATAGAGCCATTTTATTATAAAGTTTATTAAACTTTTTACAAAAAAATTTTGTCTATTTAACTTACATAACTATCTCAAACTTTTCATTTTACTTATGTGCTATTTTTTATTGTTGGGACGTTATTTACTGAAAATTTATTTTGATCTCAAATTCATTAATTATCGTTGATCTCACTGCTAACCTCTGAAGGGCATATAACTAGTTTGGGTGGAATTTTGCCTAGCATTATTATTATTATTATTATTATTATTATTATTATTATTATTATTATTATTATTGTAAATACTTGAATTCATATTTTATTTTAAAAGTAATTTTAGGTGCTCCATGTAGCTTATAGCTAGGTTTACATTTTGATTTTTTTTTTTTTTGCTGGCTGGAAGGAGCTAAACTCCTGAATGATATCATATTTTTATGTAAAATATTGTGTTGTAGAATTTTTGGAAATCTTATTTATAAGGAAGGTTCTGTCGAAATTTCTACAAAAATATTAAAACTTTTATCATAATGATTTTTTTCATGTTATAATTTTCAATACAGATTCAACTATATTTTAAAATGAAAATATTTTTCAATCTAAAATTTGAGGGATGCGTGATATGGTTCACATTCCATGACGGTCACCCTTTGATTTTTGAGGCTTGACATAAATGGTAGATCTCTGATCAATGAATTTAAAATATGCAGAAGAGTTAGGTTTGATTCCAAATCACTTAGTTAAAGCCTCTATCATTTTCACCAACTTTAATCGTTAAGACAATGGACTTGCTGCTTTTGCTTTTCAATGAGGTAGAGTCTTCTTCGAAGACAATGGACGTGCATATATAAATATGTTTGTATGTGTCCATTTATATAAAGTATTAATAGTTTCTCCGCTTTAACTTCTTCAGTTCTCGCCCTCTTTAATTTCTTACCTTTGAACTGACTCTTCCTTATTCGGTTTCAAGATTCTCTGCCATGTTCAATTTTTATCATCGTTGATTCTGGAATGAGTCAGCTTTACATGGATCTGTATTATGATTTTCTGTTTTAATTAATCACATTATCACTCATCAACTACGCGTCCCCGTCCCATCTTCCTGTCTCTCTCCTTCTTCTGATCTTTTCTACTGCCGGTGGTGTCTTGTGTGGTCGGAGCCAGTCCTGCGTCTTCATCGTCGACATGGAAGATCTCAAGCCAACCGCTGCAAACTCTCCTCCCCTCACTCCGTTAGGCTTCCTCGATAGAGCTGCCACCGTCTACGGTGGTTGCACTTCTATCATCTATAACCGCACCACCTTCACTTGGTCCCAAACCCACCGTCGCTGTCTCCAACTAGCTTCCTCTCTTTCCTCCATCGGAATCCGTGGCGGCGATGTCGTGTCCGTTGTCGCCCCCAACATCCCCGCCATGTACGAGCTACACTTCGCAGTTCCCTTTGCCGGCGCCGTCCTCAACAACATCAACACCCGCCTTGATGCTCGCACCATCTCCGTCATCCTCCGCCATAGTGAATCTAAGCTCGTGTTGGTCGACTGCATCTCTAGCGCTTTGGTCCTGGATGCCATCTCCTTGCTGCCACCAGGGACTCAACGGCCTATTCTTATACTCATAACCGACGACTCTGTGGAACCCACTTCATCAGAGGGATTCTTCGATGCGTACGAGGGGTTGGTTGCGAAGGGTGATCCGAATTTCCAGTGGATCCTACCCAAAAGCGAGCGGGATCCGATGATTTTGAATTATACGTCCGGTACGACGTCGTCTCCCAAGGGGGTGGTTCATTGCCACCGAGGCACATTTGTTATCGCCGTGGATTCTTTGATTGACTGGGGTCTACTTATGGACGCTGAATATGTTCCATGTTAACGGATGGAGCTTACCGTGGGGGATGGCAGCCGTCGGAAGAACCAATATCTGCATCGGCAAATTCGACGCCGCCACCGTGTTCACTCTGATCGAACGCCATGGTGTCACACACATGTGTGGTGCTCCGGTGGTGCTCAACATGTTAACAAGCTCCTCAACAAGAAGGCCTCTAAGTAGTCCCGTTCATGTCCTCACAGCCGGAGCACCGCCTCCAGCGGCGGTGCTGAAACGAACGGAAGCGTTAGGATTTGTGGTTAGTCACGGGTAGGGTTGACAGAAACAGGAGGTGTGGTGGTTACGTGTGCGTGGAAGCCTGGGTGGAACTTGTTGCCGGCGACGGAGAGGGCACGGCTGATGGCGAGGCAAGGGGTGAGAACAATCGGCCTGGATGAGATGGACGTGGTGGATCCGGATTCTAGTAAAAGTGCTAAACGAGACGGGTCAACACTCGGGGAAGTGGTTCTTCGAGGCGGATGCGTCATGTTGGGCTAGTTGAGAGACCCAGAAGCGAACTTCAAGTGCTTCAAGAATGGGTGGTTCTACACAGGGGACGTGGGAGTGATGCATCCAGATGCGTACTTAGAGATTAAAGATTGATCCAAAGACCTCATCATCAGTGGGGGTGAGAATCTGAGCGGCGTGGAGGTTGAATCAGTTCTGGGGAGAGACGCCGTGTGCGTTCGTGAGCTTGAGGGAGGGACTGGAGAAGAAGCTGACGGAGAAGGAGATAATGGAGTATTGCAGAGCAAAGATGCCGCACTTCATGGTTCCTAAGACGGTTGTGCTCGAGGAGGAGCTTCCAAGACGTCGACCGGTAAGATTCAGAAGTATGTGCTGAGAAAGGAAGCCAAAGACATGGGATCGTTGAAACGCAGCAGACTGTGACGAAGAAGACGGTGAGATTAAAACGGGAATGAAGGAACGTAAAAGATATATATAAACGACGTGTATTGAATGAATTGCTTGTGAAGATATGGATAAAAAATCAGTTAACATCTTGGATTGAATAAGATTGATCGATTGTTTTAAATATACCGAGAAACTGGTATGGCGATCTTATATTCTTATATTACAGTCAGTAAAGTTTTATTCGTGTTGTTCAGATTTATAGATCTTGTAATCTCGCAGGCTAAATGCAACAATAAAGTGTATGAAATTATTAATTATAAAATTATTCAATGATTAAAATATGTGACATTATTAAATTATTCAACAGCGTCCCTCTTTTGCGTTGTGTTTTCGGCACTCTTCATTTCTTCTCCCTCGGCTTTTAGTCATTCCATTCCTTGGATTTGATCGCTTATTCGATGGTTTTACCCTTTTGTTTTGTTGTTTTTATTCCTTTGTCTTATGAAAAAATTAAATGTACACCTTGATATATTTAATTTTAGGTTAAAGTAGGCTCTTAGTCATTTAATTTATATAAAGTTTTAATTTGATTCCTTAATTTATAAAATATGTTTTTAATCCTTTAACTCTAACACTATTAGTTGTAATAATTATTTCTTATATCAATCATGATTATTTTAAAAAATTTAAATTTAATATATTAATATTGATAATATTTATCAATATTTAAAAATTTAATATAAAAATCTGTTGGAATAAAACTAATAATATTATAAGATTAAAAAGATAAGTTATAAAACTAAGGATTTAAAATAAATTTTTATATAAAATAAGGATTAAATGTATATATTGATCTTAGTTTATAAGAAGTGGGAGGAAATATTTTTTGTTATTTTTATAAGGCACTTTGAGATATTTTTGTTATTTTTTCCACTAAAGTCTAAATATAAGTATTTTAAAACATCATAATAATATTAATAATAAAAATTTGTTGTAAAATAAATAATATGTAAATGACATACATATCATGACAAATAATATGGAAGAAACTTATATATTTAGTTTTATATATTTAATATACTTTTTTTTAATTAAAGTCAGCAAACTTCATCAAAAAGAAACAAAGTTTACATTTAAACTATATATTATATTTTCCCATGTTGTACTTATTTAGTTAATGTTGGTTTATGTTTTACTGACTTAGGTGATTAATTAGGCCTTTTGCTTCTCACAGCATGAATTTAACATCGGCCAAAATTTGAAACTTTGTTTATTTTCTGATGAATTTTGACTTAAATAAAAAAAATTAGGATGGATTAGAGTGTGTGTGTGTGTGTGTGTGTGTTGTGTGTTATATGTATACGTTATGATTCCCAATTAATTTATGTAATTGTATAGCAAATACTAGAGCAATATATGATCAACTTGGAGAATCATACTTAATTACTGGGGATATTGAACAACATGGCTACATCCCATGTGAGGGTACCTATGATTGGCTTTTTGAGTCAACTAAGCTACTGTAATTACAATACCGCCATTTTAAAAATATAGGCTTTTTAGTTGCCGAAAAATATATGTTTTTTTTTAAGTTTGTGCACATATATTAAGAAAATAATTCATATAATAAAATACTGACTGCAGTGCCAAAAATTTGCCCCGGCATCTCAATAAATGCTCCTTGAAATTA